CTGCCTCCATGGCCGCCGTCGGGAACGCGAGACGGAGTCGACGGAGGTCGGAGTCGCCTAATGGAATCGCGACGGTCGATTCAGCGACGGTCGAAAATCGCCGCGTTGCTGGGCGTAGAATCTCTTCGGCGATTGGTCGATTTCTCATCAAGCAGGCAGGATTCGACGGGAAGAGAAATCGCGCCGACTTTAGATGTCGAGGAATCGATGCGGCAATTGGCTTGCGACGGCAAGCGTCAGCTCAGCGAGTTTCAGAGTCACAGCAGACCCAGCAGCATCAGTGAGTGTGTTAATCTGTCTCTTTGTGTCTGTGTGTGTCTCTGTGTATGTGTGTGTGTACAGAGTCACAGCAGACCCAGCTATACCAGCAGCATCAGTGAGTGTGTTAATCTGCCTGTTTGTGTCTGTGTGTGTCTCTGTGTATGTGTGTGTGTGTACAGAGTCACAGCAGACCCAGCTATACCAGCAGCATCAGTGAGTGTGTTAATCTGCCTGTTTGTGTCTGTGTGTGTCTCTGTGTATGTGTGTGTGTACAGAGTCACAGCAGACCCAGCTATACCAGCAGCATCAGTGAGTGTGTTAATCTGTCTGTTTGTGTTTGTGTGTGTCTCTGTGTATGTGTGTGTGTACAGAGTCACAGCAGACCCAGCTATACCAGCAGCATCAGTGAGTGTGTTAATCTGTCTGTTTGTGTCTGTGTGTGTCTCTGTGTATGTGTGTGTACAGAGTCACAGCAGACCCAGCTATACCAGCAGCATCAGTGAGTGTGTTAATCTGCCTGTTTGTGTCTGTGTGTGTCTCTGTGTATGTGTGTGTGTGTACAGAGTCACAGCAGACCCAGCTATACCAGCAGCATCAGTGAGTGTGTTAATCTGCCTGTTTGTGTCTGTGTGTGTCTCTGTGTATGTGTGTGTGTACAGCAGGGGTCGGGAACCTATGGCTCGCGAGCCAGATGTGGCTCTTTTGATGATTGCATATGGCTCGCAGATAAAACAAAATATTCTCACTTGTTTTAATCCATCCATCGATTTTTCACTGCGCATGTCCTGTTCAGGGCTGCAGGAGCAATTGTCCATTATTTTAATTGGATGATACTGGCCTACGTTTGCCGTTGCTGGGTAAAACAGGTAAACGCCCCCTTTTGAATCAGTCTGAGACTGCGTCTGCTCGGTCATTAGCTCAAAGCTAACCCTTCGACGAAGAAGATGGCGAAAAGAAAAAAAGACGACGAGTATCGTACATTCCAGGACGAATGGACCGAAGAATTCGCCTTTGTGGAGAGAGCGGGTTCTGCGGTGTGTCTAATTTGCAATGACAAAATTACATCGTTGAAACGGTCGAATGTAAAGCGGCACTTCGACACGCGCCACGCTACCTTTGCATCAAAATACCCTGCGGGAGACAGCAGAAAGAAAGCGTGCCAAGAGCTTCTGAGCAGGGTGCAAGCTAGCCAGCAGCAACTCCGCGTATGGACCCGGCAAGGTGACTATAATTCGGCTAGCTTTGCTGGTTCTTTAGCAATAGTGAGGAACGGAAAACCATTCACAGATGGCGAGTATGCTAAAACGTTCATGCTGGATGTAGCCAATGAACTTTTTGATGATCTTCCGAACAAAGACAAGATAATCAAACGGATACAAGACATGCCTCTGTCGGCAAGAACTGTTCATGATCGTACCATCGTGATGGCAAACAAAGTGGAGGAAACGCAAGTGAAGGACATAAATGCAGCGCCGTTCTTTTCTCTGGCTTTGGATGAGTCAACAGACGTGAGCCATTTGTCGCAGTTCAGCGTGATTGCAAGATATGCTGTTGGTGACACACTGCGCGAAGAAAGTCTTGCTGTTCTGCCATTAAAAGGGTCCACAAGAGGTGAGGATTTATTCAAGTCTTTCATGGAGTTTGCTCAAGAAAAAAGTCTACCTATGGATAAACTTCTCTCAGTGTGTACTGATGGTGCTCCGTGTATGGTGGGGAAAAACAAAGGATTTGTGGCGCTTCTCCGTGAACATGAAAATAGACCCATCCTAAGTTTCCATTGCATTATACACCAGGAGGCACTTTGTGCTCAGATGTGTGACAGGCAGTTTGGCGAAGTGATGTCGCTGGTCATTCGTGTGATCAACTTTATTGTTGCCCGAGCCTTAAATGATCGCCAGTTTAAAACACTGCTGGATGAAGTTGTAAATAACTATCCTGGTCTGCTTTTGCACAGCAATGTGCGTTGGTTGTCAAGAGGGAAGGTGCTTAGCCGTTTTGCGGCTTGCCTGAACGAAATCCGGACTTTCCTTGAAATGAAAGGCGTCGGGCATCCTGAGCTAGCCGACACCGAGTGGCTCCTCAAGTTTTACTATCTCGTAGATCTGACTGAACATCTGAACCAGCTCAACGTGAAAATGCAAGGCATTGGAAATACAGTGTTATCCCTTCAACAAGCTGTATTTGCTTTTGAAAACAAGCTGAAGCTTTTCATCACGGATCTTGAAACAGGTCGTTTACTACATTTTGAAAAACTGAGCCAATTTAAAGATGCATGCACAGCAAGTGAGCCCATTCAAAACCTTGATCTCCACCAGCTAGCTGGCTGCACATCCAGTCTCCTACAGTCCTTCAAAGCACGCTTTGGAGAATTTCGTGAGCACACTCGTCTTTTTAAGTTCATCACCCATCCAAACGAGTGTTCACTGAACACAGCCGACCTGAATTACATCCCTGGTGTCTCCGTCAGAGATTTTGAAGCAGAAGTGGCTGACCTGAAGGCCTCAGACATGTGGGTGAATAAGTTCAAGTCACTGAATGAAGATTTGGAAAGAATCACACGACAGAAAGCGGAGTTGGCGAGCAAGCACATGTGGACAGAAATGAAAAAACTCCAACCCGAAGACCAGCTGATTCTCAAAACTTGGAACGCGCTTCCTGTCACATGCCACACACTGCAGCGTGTGAGTATTGCTGTATTGACCATGTTTGGATCTACGTATGCATGTGAGCAGTCATTCTCACATCTTAAAAACATCAAGTCCAACCTACGATCACGTTTAACGGATGAAAGCCTCAACGCTTGCATGAAGCTTAACCTCACCAAGTACCAACCCGACTACAAAGTACCAACCCGACTACAAAGACATCAGCAAATCCATGCAGCACCAGAAGTCGCATTAATGGTGAGTGTTATAACAACATTATTTAAAAGAATAAATTCAGAGGCTTATTATACTGACATTTAGTTGAATTCACTTTAAAAATATATTATATGGCTCTCACTGAAATAAATTTCCAAATTTTTTGCTTTCATGGCTCTCTTAGTCAAAAAGGTTCCCGACCCCTGGTGAAACGAACTCCTTCAACACCGGCGTTGTTGAAACGATGGCTTCGTCTCTGAGAGGTGCCGCGCGCCATCTCCGGCATCTCCGCCGGTGTTGGAGGGGCTGGGGACACCCATCAGCGGTCGCGCAGGTGATGACGATGCGCCCGCCGATTGGTCCTGACAGCGGGCGTCCGTTGGTGATGACGATGCGCCCGCCGATTGGTCCTGACAGCAGGCGTCCGTTGGTGATGACGTCATCACCGCTGATTGGCCCACAGCGTCCACGTGGAGCTGCGACCGTCCAATCGCCGTGGCGGACAGTGTCATGGCGGCAAATCCTAAATCTGGTGGCTGTGTTTCGGCGGGAATGGCCGTTGAACGGCGTTCGTCTCTCTGCCGCCTTTGCGCCCGCAGCCCCGCGCGGTTGATTTCCTCCAGCGTGGAAGCCGCGGCGTACAGCAGCTCAGCCAGTCGAGAGTGAGCCGCCTGCAACCCGTCCTCCATCGGTGGCCACTCCTCCAGCGGCGGCTGCTGTTGGGGCGTCTGGGGCATCCCAGGATCGTCGGCCGCGGCCTCTGGCGCAATCCCAGGCGAGCCGTCCTCCTCCTGGGGTTCCTGTGATCGGTTTGTACTCCTTGTGTCCATTTTAAGACCACTTCTGACACCAGTTGTAGTGGGTTCCAGGACACGGAGACGGCAGAATAGAAGCAGCACTATTTATTTAAACCTTAACAAGGGTTACACTAGAAGGGGTAGCGGCCCCTCCACCCGTATAACTCAGGAACACACCCCAGGCTCTCTAGCCTAAGCTCTAGGCTCCCAGTTCCTCCTGGTAGGGCTCTAAGGGAGGCTATCAGATCCGGACCTGGTTAGGCACAGATCTCGGCACCCCGCCGACCAGACCGGCCCTCAGAAGGACTCTGACTCTGAGGCTCTGGGGCCGCACCACTGGCTTGCTGTGCCGGCCCTGAAAAGGGCAGCGGTCACAGGAGTTCCAGGGTCTCACCTAGCTGGCCTTCTTTTTTCACTGGTTGCTTCAGCCTCGGGCCCCACACTCTGCCCCGAGCTCCCTGGCTCCCCGCACTTTATACCCACTGGAGCCTTAGCGGACATTGTTGTAGCCACCAAGGTGTGGGTGAACCACACCTTCCCGTGCCATGTGTTTATTCCCCATAGCACCCCTACACATTCAAGCAAAGTAACTCAACCCCCTCGACAGCGTACAAAGTTAAAACCAGATTCTCAGCACCACCGATGTCACTTTTTCCCACTACGGGACTTTGTGGCAGCCATTAATGTAAATTATTCATTACGGACAGAAGGCAGAGCACATCACAAGATGAAGTGTGCGTCTCACAAGACGTGAATAATATGCTTAGAGTTTGAACCAATAACTTTAATCGTGATAATGCGTGCTCAATACAATAAAGTGCATTATAAAACAGAAAATAAAAAACTCCAAAAATACAAATCGAAATTTGACAGTGCCCTTACACTAAAACATGTGCAAATAACACGTGCGTAAAAAATAACACGTGCTTAAAAAAATAACACGTGCGTAAAAAATAACATGTGCTTAAAAAATAACACGTGCGTAAAAATTAAAACCACTTCAACATTATAAATTACTCTCACGGCGCGAGCAATACGGGGAAAGTCCACGGCGGGCGGCGGGGCCCTCCGCGTCGCCACCCTAGCGGCTCGCGTCGCCGGCGTCGGCGGCGACCGCGTCGGCCCACGCGACGGGGCGCCGGCGCCGTGCCAGGCGCATCGCCCCCTCCAGGTCCGCGTGCTCCTGCGGGCCCGCCAGGCCGGCCGAGGCCAACGATTCGTGCTGCTTCTTCGTCAGTCGCAGGAGCTCCGTCACCAGCCTGCCGGCGCGGGATTCACGGGAGGGGGGGGGGGGGGGTGGGGGTGGCCGTATCGTCGTCGTCACAATCGCGGCGCTTCGAAAATAAAAGTTCGGCGCCGCCGCCGCCGTGGACGTCGTCGATAACCGTCGACGTCAATGCAGCTCGGTCGATCGCATCGCCGTCGAAGCAAACCGCGGTTGTCGGTGGCGCCGTCACGACCGCGAGCGTCGGCGCCGTCACCGAGCGGCGGAGCCCGACGGCGAGGCCCCCCCGCGGGAAGGCCGCTACCCAACGGCGTGGTTTTAACGTCGCTCACTCAGACCGCGGTGCCACCACTCCCCACGCACCCCGCAGTAAACCAACAGACGTTCATTCTCACGCGACGGCAGCAGCAGCAGGAATATTCTATACAAATCCACAGCGGCAGGAATATCCGATACAGGATGCACAGCCTTTTGACTCCCCAGTGCTGGCGACGTTTACTACGCAGTGCCACGCCGGGCGCACGCACGCGGCTCACCGCTCCGTGTGCCAGCGGTCCTCGTCGTGCAGGCGGGCGAGCCGCCCGGCGTACCGCAGACACTCGTGCAGGCCCCCCGTCTCCCGCTCGTGCCGCACGCCGCTCACGCCCGGCGCCAGCGACTGCAACGCCGCACAGGACCGGGTCAATAATTATCGTCGTCATCATTCGCCTCCGCCGCCGCCGCCGGCCGTCGAGCGCGAACCGAAACTCGTGCCGCCGCCGGGTTTGTGCGACGCCGCCACAAAGACCCCCCCCCCCCCCCCCCCCCCGCGGTGCGTCTCTCCCACCTGCGCGAGGGCGCCGTCCGGTACTTCCGAGGGCTGCGCGGCCACGGCCGCGGCCGCAGCCGCCGCCTGGCCCCGGAGCCTGTCGGCGTTGCCTTCGCGCCAGGCTTCCAGAGCGCGCCGCCGCTCCTCCTTGTGGCAGCGCAGTAACCGCGCCGCCAACAAACACCTCTCCAGCCGGTCCATGCTCAGGCACCGGCGACGAAGACGACGCTGACGGGTCGCGACCCCCTGACGTCAAGCCGGGAATCGAAGTTACGTTGCCGGGTTGTTAGCGCAGTGCCGCCGACCGCGACGCCGCTCCAAAGACGAGACCCCCGCCCCCCCCCCCCCCCCCCCCCCCCCCCCGCGGTGCGTCTCTCCCACCTGCGCGAGGGCGCCGTCTGGGCCTTCCGAGGGCTGCACGGCCGCGACCGCCGCCGCCGCCGCCGCCGCCGCTGCGTGCGCCCGGAGCTGCTCCCTGTTGTCCTGGAGCTGGGCTTCGAGGGTGCGCCGACGCTCCTCCTTGATGCGTCGGAGGCGCGGTCGCGACGCCGCCGTGCAGGGCTCGAGCACAAGGCACCGGCGACGAAGACGGCGCTGACGACGACGGGTCACGGCAGCGAGGGGGTGGCCATTTAAATGGAGCGCCGCGCGGTGGTCGAGTTGAGACCGCTTGCGTTGCGATCGAAACGTCGCGGTTTTTTGTTATTATTTTATTTTAACCAATCCGCGTGACTTTACCGAAAGACCCAAGAATATAAATTCCTGCAGTCCCGAGAGCTTCAAGTAAAGATTCATGTACTACCATGACAGCAATTCAACAAATAAGCAGTGCCTGCAGTGGTTGCCGGGGTCACATGAACCCGTTTACGTAAAAAAAACTTTAAACCAATTGCCCGCCATCAAACTTCCCCATGCCGTGTCGATAACGGGGGATATGATAATTGTTTTTTTACCCTTTTATCTGCCGACAAAACTGACACCTTTTTTACAAGGTATCATTTTTGTGCATTGCCCGCAATACCTGCTGTCAGTTTTATTGCCAGATAAAAGGGTAAAAAAAACAATTATCATATTTTGCTACTGGCAAAGGAGGTTCCGATGGTGTAAACGGGGGATATACGTTTGACCATACTTCACCACGCCAGTCAGTTGCGGGTTGGTGAAGGGCGGCAGCCCAGGACCAAGATTCAGACATCACCCGCCACCGACGTCAAGCCGGGAATCGAAGTTGGATTGCCGGGTTCTTAGCGCAGTGCCGGTCCAAAGACAAGGCCCCCCCCCCCACCCCCACCCCCGCCCCCGCCCCCCCCGCAGTGCGTCTCTCCCACCTGCGCGAGGGCCCCGTCTGGGCCTTCCGAGGGTTGCACGGCCGCGGCCGCCGCCGCGTGCGCCCGGAGCCGCTCCCTGTTGTCCTGGAGCCGGGCTTCGAGGGTGCGCCGACGCTCCTCCTTGATGCGTCGGAGGCGCGGTTGCGACGCCGCCGTGCGGGGCTCGAGCACAAGGCACCGGCGACGAAGACGGCGCTGACGACGACGGGTCACGGCAGCGAGGGGGTGGCCATTTAAATGGAGCGCCGCGCGGTGGTCGGGTTGAGACCGCTTGCGTTGCGATCGAAACGTCGCGGTTTTTTGTTATTATTTTATTTTAACCAATCCGCGTGACTTTACCGAAAGACCCAAGAATATAAATTCCTGCAGTCCCGAGAGCTTCAAGTCAAGATTCATGTACTACCATGACAGCAATTCAACAAATAAGCAGTGCCTGCAGTGGTTGCCGGGGTCACATGAACCCGTTTACGTAAAAAAAACTTTAAACCAATTGCCCGCCATCAAACTTCCCCATGCCGTGTCGATAACGGGGGATATGATAATTGTTTTTTTACCCTTTTATCTGCTGACAAAACTGACACCTTTTTTACAAGGTATCATTTTTGTGCATTGCCCGCAATACCTGCTGTCAGTTTTATTGCCAGATAAAAGGGTAAAAAAAACAATTATCATATTTTGCTACTGGCAAAGGAGGTTCCGATGGTGTAAACGGGGGATATACGTTTGACCATACTTCACCACGCCAGTCAGTTGCGGGTTGGTGAAGGGCGGCAGCCCAGGACCAAGATTCAGACATCACCCGCCACCGACGTCAAGCCGGGAATCGAAGTTGGATTGCCGGGTTCTTAGCGCAGTGCCGGTCCAAAGACAAGGCCCCCACCCCCACCCCCGCCCCCGCCCCCCCCGCAGTGCGTCTCTCCCACCTGCGCGAGGGCCCCGTCTGGGCCTTCCGAGGGTTGCACGGCCGCGGCCGCCGCCGCGTGCGCCCGGAGCCGCTCCCTGTTGTCCTGGAGCCGGGCTTCGAGGGTGCGCCGACGCTCCTCCTTGATGCGTCGGAGGCGCGGTTGCGACGCCGCCGTGCGGGGCTCGAGCACCAGGCACCGGCGACGAATGCGCTGCTGACGACGGGTCACAACCCCGAGGTGGTGATTATTTAAATGGGGTGCCGGGTTGCGGGCGCCCACAACTCGACCACCGCGTGGCACCGCGGTGGTCGAGTTGTGGAGCTTTGGTACCCTGAAGCCGACAGCAGTTGGCAAGGGTCAAGAGGGGGGGGGGGGAGGGCACCCACAATAATAACAAGAAGAGGCTTTTACTCTAAACTAGGGCTCAACGATTTGGGGGAAATATCTAAAATTGCGATTTTTCTGACAGATGTTGTGATATGATTTGTGATAAAAAAAACATTGTTTTTGTTAAGTGAAACCTCAGTTCAACATTCACATTGTGATAGGTGTGTAAAACACGTGATGGAGCATTACCACGTGATACCATCAACAATATGAACTGCTCTCTACATAAATTCTAATACAATGATGATAACTTAAAAAAGGTATCAATCACTTCCGACGTGTATTTATTAAAATGTTTTAATTGAAATAGAACAAATCAAACATAGAACAATTGTTAAGTGAAATGAATAAAGTTATAATACTAACAAATAAAACAATTCCAATAACTAACAGGACTTTTCAAATCGCAAAAAAGCGCAGCCTTTGCGATTTGCTAATCGCATTGTTTCACATTGCGATTAATCGATTTGAAATCGATTAATCGTTAAGCCCTGCTCCAAACCGGTGGTTCGTAACCTCAGAAGGGGGGCATCTCGCACACCCCCCCAGGTTAAAGAACCACTCCGCTAAACGCTTTGTTCCCAAATGTGGGAGGGGAAAACCGGAAAACCCGGAGAAAAATCCACGCAAGCACAGGGAGAGAGACACACAGCCTCCAAATATACAGTAGCAGCAGCAGGCGTCAGGGACTCACGACCTCCTGTATACCAGGCGAGGTAGTTAACATCTCATAGCCACCGTGATGATGAGAGAGAGAGACACAGACACACGCTGTACACGCACAGGACACAGACAGAGAGACACACGCTGTACACACACAGGACACAGACAGACACACGCTGTACACACACAGGACACAGACACAGAAAAAACACACGCTGTACACACACAGGAAACAGACACAGAGAGACACACGCTGTACACACACAGGACACAGACACAGAGAGACACACGCTGTACACACACAGGACACAGACACAGAGACACACGCTGTACACGCACAGGACACAGACACAGAGAGACACACGCTGTACACACACAGGAAACAGAGAGACACGCTGCACACACACAGGATAGACACAGAGAGACACACGCTGTACACACACAGGACACAGACACAGAGAGACACACGCTGTACACACACAGGACACAGACACAGAGAGACACGTGCTGTACACACACAGGACACAGACACAGAGAGACACACGCTGTACACACACAGGACACAGACACAGAGAGACACACGCTGTACACACACAGGACACAGACACAGAGAGACAGACGCTGTACACACACAGACACAGACACAGAGAGACACACGCTGTACACACACAGGACACAGACACAGAGAGACACACGCTGAACACGCACAGGACAGACACAGAGAGACACACGCTGTACACACACAGGACACAGACACAGAGAGACACGTGCTGTACACACACAGGACACAGACACAGAGAGACACACGCTGTACACACACAGGACACAGACACAGAGAGACACACGCTGTACACACAGAGGACACAGACACAGAGAGACACACGCTGTACACACACAAGACACAGACACAGAGAGACACACGCTGTACACACACAGGACACAGAGAGACACACGCTGTACACGCACAGGACACAGAGAGACACACGCTGTACACGCACAGGACACAGAGAGACACACGCTGTACACACACAGGACACAGACACAGAGAGACACACGCTGTACACACAGGACACAGACACAGAGAGACACACGCTGTACACACACAGGACACAGAGAGACACACGCTGTACACACACAGGACACAGACACAGAGAGACACACACTGTACACACACAGGACACAGACACAGAGAGACACACGCTGTACACACACAGGACACAGACACAGAGAGACACACGCTGTACACACACAGGACACAGACACAGAGAGACACACGCTGTACACACACAGGACACAGACTGAGAGACACACGCTGTACACACACGGGACACAGACACAGAGAGACACACGCTGTACACACACAGGACACAAACACAGAGAGACACACGCTGTACACGCACAGGACAGACACAGAGAGACACACGCTGTACACACACAGGACACAGACACAGAGAGACACACGCTGTACACACACAGACACAGAGAGACACACGCTGTACACACACAAGACACAGACACAGAGAGACACACGCTGTACACACACAGGACACAGACACAGAGAGACACACGCTGTACACACACAGGACACAGACACAGAGAGACACACGCTGTACACACACAGGACACAGACTGAGAGACACAAGCTGTACACACACAGGACACAGACACAGAGAGACACACGCTGTACACACACAGGACACAGACACAGAGAGACACACGCTGTACACGCACAGGACACAGACACAGAGAGACACACGCTGTACACGCACAGGACAGACACAGAGAGACACACGCTGTACACACACAGGACACAGACACAGAGAGACACACGCTGTACACACACAGGACACAGACACAGAGAGACACACGCTGTACACACACAGGACACAGACTGAGAGACACGTGCTGTACACACACAGGACACAGACACAGAGAGACACACGCTGTACACACACAGGACACAGACACAGAGAGACACACGCTGTACACACACAGGACACAGACACAGAGAGACACACGCTGTACACACACAGACACAGACACAGAGAGACACACGCTGTACACACACAGGACACAGACACAGAGAGACACACGCTGAACACGCACAGGACAGACACAGAGAGACACACGCTGTACACACACAGGACACAGACACAGAGAGACACGTTCTGTACACACACAGGACACAGACACAGAGAGACACACGCTGTACACACACAGGACACAGACACAGAGAGACACACGCTGTACACACAGAGGACACAGACACAGAGAGACACACGCTGTACACACACAAGACACAGACACAGAGAGACACACGCTGTACACACACAGGACACAGAGAGACACACGCTGTACACGCACAGGACACAGAGAGACACACGCTGTACACGCACAGGACACAGAGAGACACACGCTGTACACACACAGGACACAGACACAGAGAGACACACGCTGTACACACAGGACACAGACACAGAGAGACACACGCTGTACACACACAGGACACAGAGAGACACACGCTGTACACACACAGGACACAGACACAGAGAGACACACACTGTACACACACAGGACACAGACACAGAGAGACACACGCTGTACACACACAGGACACAGACACAGAGAGACACACGCTGTACACACACAGGACACAGACACAGAGAGACACACGCTGTACACACACAGGACACACAGAGAGACACACGCTGTACACACACAGGACACAGACACAGAGAGACACACGCTGTACACACACAGGACAGACACAAAGAGACACACGCTGTACACGCACAGGACAGACACAGAGAGACACACGCTGTACACACACAGGACACAGACACAGAGAGACACACGCTGTACACACACAGACACAGAGAGACACACGCTGTACACACACAAGACACAGACACAGAGAGACACACGCTGTACACACACAGGACACAGACACAGAGAGACACACGCTGTACACACACAGGACACAGACACAGAGAGACACACGCTGTACACACACAGGACACAGACTGAGAGACACAAGCTGTACACACACAGGACACAGACACAGAGAGACACACGCTGTACACACACAGGACACAGACACAGAGAGACACACGCTGTACACGCACAGGACACAGACACAGAGAGACACACGCTGTACACGCACAGGACAGACACAGAGAGACACACGCTGTACACACACAGGACACAGACACAGAGAGACACACGCTGTACACACACAGGACACAGACACAGAGAGACACACGCTGTACACACACAGGACACAGACTGAGAGACACACGCTGTACACACACAGGACACAGACACAGAGAGACACACGCTGTACACACACAGGACACAGACACAGAGAGACACACGCTGTACACGCACAGGACACAGACACAGAGAGACACACGCTGTACACGCACAGGACAGAGACAGAGAGACACACGCTGTACACACACAGGACACAGACACAGAGAGACACACGCTGTACACGCACAGGACACAGACACAGAGAGACACGCTGTACACGCACAGGACACAGACAGAGAGACACACGCTGTACACACACAGGACACAGACAGAGAGACACACGCTGTACACGCACAGGACACAGACAGAGAGACACACGCTGTACACACACAGGACACAGAGAGATGCACGCTGTACACACACAGGACACAGACAGAGAGACACACGCTGTACACACACAGGACACAGACAGAGAGACACACGCTGTACACACACAGGACACAGAGAGATACACGCTGTACACACACAGGACACAGACAGACACACGCTGTACACACACAGGACACAGACAGAGAGACACACGCTGTACACACACAGGACACAGACAGAGACACACGCTGTACACGCACAGGACACAGACAGAGAGACACACGCTGTACACACACAGGACACAGAGAGATACACGCTGTACACACACAGGACACAGACACAGAGAGACACACGCTGTACACACACAGGACACAGACACAGAGAGACACACGCTGTACACACACAGGACACAGACACAGAGAGACACACGCTGTACACACACAGGACACAGACACGCTGTACACACACAGGACACAGACACAGGGAGACACACGCTGTACACACTCGGACACAGAGAGACACACGCTGTACACACACAGGAC